GCAAGCGTCGGAGTGGCCAATCTGACCTTTAACTCTTCAACCGAAAGAACCACGACAAGCTGAAAAATCCAGTCGCTATAACAACCAGCGGCAACAACAGCTCCTTTCAGAATAAAAGCTCCACTGACCCAGACTTGGGTCTGAACAGACGCCAATAAAAGTGTCGTGTGCTGGAGGTAACTCAAGACGGGTCTGGTCGGAACAGCGGCTTCTTCTACCAGCTCGGTTTCCAGAGGGCCTGCTGGACCTCGGCATTCCTGATCTACAGAGGACTTCCACCGAAGGCAGGTAGACACAACATGATGGGGTCTCATGCGGTTTCTGAAACTAACTAAAGCTTAATTCAAAACAACATCTTCAGTTCCCGTCAGAACTAATCACTTCTTTGGATTTGCTGGTTCTGATTTGACATCACACGTCATCCATTCACCGTCTCATCCATTTTTAGTTACACTATACACTTAGATCTGAAGTCAGTCTAGCTTAATTTGTTAGTGATAAAATTCTTAACTTTTAAACTTGACTCTCTCTGTTCTGTTGTCTCTGAGTGAATACGTAACGGTTACCTAACCTCTGCAATAAAAAAATCCCATCTTCTCGTTTGAATAACCCTAAATGCATAAGGTGGATTTTATATTTACTATTGAATCCCACGTCTTATGGATCATTAAATAAAATGTAAGAACCTCTCATTTTCCTTACACAATGTATGTGTTACGTTTCTATGTACCTAAACAAAAATCTCAATCAAAAGAAAGTCGTCGTCATCTTCCTCCGCTTATCCGGGTCCGGGTCGCGGGGGCAGCATCCCAACTAGGGAGCTCCAGACCGTCCTCTCTCCGGCCTTCTCCACCAGCTCCTCCGGCAGGACCCCAAGGCGTTCCCGGACCAGATTGGAGATGTAACCTCTCCAACATGTCCTGGGTCGACCCGGGGGCCTCCTGCCGGCAGGACATGCCCGAAACACCTCCCCGGGGAGGCGTCCAGGAGGCATCCTGACCAGATGCCCAAACCACCTCAACTAGCTCCTTTCGATCCGGAGGAGCAGCGGTTCTACTCCGAGTCCCTCCCGAATGTCCGAGCTCCTCACCCTATCTCTAAGGCTGAGCCCGGCCACCCTACGGAGGAAACTCATTTTGGCCGCTTGTATCCGCGATCTCGTTCTTTCGGTCATTACCCAAAGCTCATGACCATAGGTGAGGACTGGGACGTAGATCGACCGGTAAATCGAGAGCCTGGCTTTCTGGCTCAGCTCCCTCTTCACCACGACAGATCGGCTCAGCATCCGCATCACTGCAGATGCTGAACCAATCCGCCTGTCGATCTCCCGATCCCTCCTACCCTCACTCGTGAACAAGACCTCGAGATACTTAAACTCCTCCACTTGAGGTAGGACCTCTTCCCAGACCCGGAGTTGGCAAGCCACCCTTTTCCGGTCGAGAACCATGGTCTCAGATTTGGAGGTGCTGATCCTCATCCCAGCCGCTTCACACTCTGCCGCGAACCTACCCAGCAAGAGCTGAAGGTCAGAGCTGGATGAAGCTAGGAGGACCACATCATCCGCAAAAAGCAGAGATGAGATCCTCCTGCCACCAAACTCGACACACTCCACACCACGGCTGTGCCTGGAAATTCTGTCCATAAAGATTTTGAACAGAACCGGTGACAAAGGGCAGCCCTGGTGGAGTCCAACCCTCACCGGGAACAGGTCCGACTTACTACCAGCTATGCAGACCAAACTCACGCTCCTCTGGTAAAGGGACTGAATGGCTCTTAACAGAAAGCCACCCACCCCATACTCCTGGAGCGTCCCCCACAGGGTGCCCCTGGGGACACGGTCATAAGCCTTCTCCAAATCCACAAAACACATGTGGATTGGTTGGGCAAACTCCCATGCCCCCTCCATCACCCTTGCAAGGGTATAGAGCTGGTCCACAGTTCCACGGTCAGGACGAAAACCTCATTGCTCCTCCTCAATCTGAGATTCAACTATCGATCGGACCCTCCTTTCCAGTACCTTGGAGTAGACCTTTCCAGGGAGGCTGAGGAGTGTGATCCCCCTATAGTTGGAACACACCCTCAGGTCACCCTTCTTAAAGATGGGGACCACCACCCCGGTCTGCCACTCCACAGGAACTGCCCCCGATGACCACGCAATGTTGCAGAGACGTGTCAACCACGACAGCCCTACAACATCCATAGCCTTGAGATACCCAGGACGAACCTCATCCGCCCCCGCGGCTCCGCCGCTGTGTGGTTGTTTGATTACCTCAGCAACTTCTGCCCCCGAGATCTGACAGTCCATCCCCAGGTCTCCCGACTCTGGTTCCTCCTCGGAATGCGCATAGGTGGGATTGAGGAGCTCCTCAAAATATTCTGTCCACCGTCCGACTATAGCCCCAGTTGACGCCAGCAGCTCCCCATCCCCACTGTAAACAGTGTGAGCGAGTTGCTGCCTTCCTCTCCTGAGGCGCCGGCCAGTTTGCCAGAACCTCTTTGGAGCCGATCGATAGTCTTTCTCCATGGCCTCACCAAACTCCTCCCACACCCAAGATTTTGCCTTGGCAACTGCCACTGCTGCACCCCGCTTGGCTATCCGGTACCTGTCTGCTGCCTCCGGAGACCCACAGACCAGCCACGCCCTGTAGGCCTCCATCTTCAGCCTGACAGCTTCCCGAACCTCTGGTGTCCACCAGCGGGTACGGGGGTTGCCACCACGACTGGCACCGGCCACCTTGCGACCACAGCTAGCAACAGCTGCCTCAACAATTGCAGAGTGGAACAAGGCCCACTCGGAGTCAATGTCCCCCACTGCTCTCGGGACGCGGTCAAAGCTCTGCCGGAGGTGGGAGTTGAAGACCGTCTTAACAGGTTCTTCTGCCAGGCGTTCCCAGCAGACCCTCACTATGCGTTTGGGTCTGCCAGGTCTACGCGGCATCTTCCCCTGCCATCTGATCCAACTCACCACCAGGTGGTGATCAGTTGACAGCTCCGCTCCTCTCTTCACTCGGGTGTCCAAAACATACGGCCGCAGGTCAGATGATACGACTACAAAGTCTACCATCGACCTGCAACCTAGGCTGACCTGGTACCAAGTGTACTGATGGGCATCCTTATGTTCGAACATGGTGTTCGTTATGGCCAAACTGCGGCTTGCACATAAGTCCAAAAACGAAACACCACTCGAGTTCAGATCAGGCGGGCTGTTCCTCCCAATCACACCCCTCCAGGTCATGCTGTCATTGCCCACGTGAGCATTGAAGTCCCCCAGCAGGACAATGGAGTCCCCTGATGGACCACTATCTAGCACTCGTCCCAGGGACTCCAAAAAGGGTGGGTACTCTGAACTGATATTTGGCCCATAAGCACAAACAACAGTCAGGACCCGTTCCCCGACCCGAAGGTGCAGGGAAGCTACCCTCTCGTCCCCTGGGGTAAACTCCAACACACAGGCAGAGAGTCTTGGGGCTAACAAAAAGCCAACCCTGCCCTCCGCCTCTCACCCGGAGCAACTCCAGCAAGGAGAGTGTCCAACCCCTCTCAAGGACTTGGGTTCCAGAGCCAATGCTATGTGTCGAGGTGAGTCCGACTATATCTAGCCGGTACCACTCAACCTCTGCCACAAGCTCCTGCTCCTTCCCCGCCAGCAAGGTGACGTTCCATGTCCCAAAAACCAGTTTTCATGTCCGGGGATCGGACCGCCAAGACTCCCGCCTTGGTCTGCCACCCGATCCACATTGCACCGGACCCTTCATGTTCCTCCTGCGGGTGGTGGATCCACAGTTGGATGAGCCCATGTATCCGGTTCGGGCTGGGCCCGGCCGGGCCCCATGGGCGAAAGCCCGGCCACCAGGCGCTCGCTCGCGGGCCCCAACCCCAGGCCTGGCTCCAGGATAAGACCCCGGTAACCCTCCGGGCCAGGTATCAGACTCTTTGTTTAACGTCCATGAAAGATCCTGTGAGATCCTGTAATTTCAAAAGAAAGTATATAAAATAAATTGTTTTAAAATAAGTTTTTACATGGTTACGATCAAAATTAGTTTCAATATTAACCCTCTGGAGGCCTGCCTACCTGGTTACTGCACACATGTATTTCATGAGCATTTTTTTACCTCGCAGTACCCCTGAAGGACTTAGTTGTTCGTACTTTTATCAAAACTTATTTTGAGCCTGAGCAGGTTAAAACCCTCTTCATTATTATTATAAAGAAATCACTTAAGTATCCTGAGTTTACTTGCACTGTAAAATATTTAAAATACATTTTGAGTATAGAAGGAACCCTTATTGAAGCTAAGATAATAAAAAAATACATCAATAACATCTGAAGATCTGGACGTGAAAGAACTGATGCAGGTTTCATGCATGGTGAAGGGATACGGACACACAACATGAAATATTTAAGAATATCTTAAAAAAGACCAAACATCACAGATTTAAAGTATTTTTCTGGAGTTTTCTACTTTCAGAAACTATGATTTGTCAGAAATCTGTAAAAGTGATTTTTTTTTTGCTAAACACGCCTCCTGCCCCGCAGAGCTCCGTGCAATAGGAAACTGAGTGCCGACCAGAACTAACCAATAGCTTTACTACCACTTACTTGCTTCAAATTTAAGGAATACCTCGGTTGATGCAGAGTTGATGAACTTTTCACGGACAAGTACGTCTCTAAAATATAAACATATGAAAACAGAACATGACATGAGAATAACACTAATAAAACAACGTGTTTTAGCTGTTTGTCGCTACAAAAGCACATTTATAAACAGAAACGTGATGTCACCATCTTAAAAAACAGAGTGGCAGACTTTTTGTGTGATATGCTCGTCAGCCACTAGATGGTGCCATCGGATAAGAGAAATACTCCGGAAAGGGACTTTAGGCTAAGTTTGAATAATAGAACAAGGGGGTATGCTTATCGAAGTAGAAAGCTATCGTTTAATTTTAAATAGAATGATTACAGTTATAAGTGACAAACAGATTAAAAGGCAGGACACATTCAGTGATTCCATAACATATTTTAATTTTCAGTGTTTTAGTATAAAAAATGTCACCAGCCTGCTGTGGGCTGGTTTCTGTGCCCGTCAGCTACAACTGTTTTTATTATTCCCAGAGAATCAGCTAAAAGTACCAAATCTATTTACACACAACATCCACATCCAGAGGGTCCAAAGAAAACAGCTAGGCTACCCACTGCTTCCCCGTCTGAATAAAAAAACAAACACTATCACCTCACCGCTCAAATGTAATGCTAAAACCCAAATGATAATTAAAAAAAAGAAACAATCACAACAAAAGACAAAGGGTCTCTATGTGTCGGTTCTAGTGCCTGCAGAGCCGTCTCACCACAGCCTCTCCATAAAGTGATGCTTTACAATAAATTATTACAGGCACATGGTCTCCGCCGCCGCTCCAGTTCAGCTAACACAGAGATGACGTGATACTCTAAAGACTTCAAATCATCACAGCACACAAACCCAAAGGCCCAAAAACCGGAAACACAAAGGAGTTTTTAAAAGAAAGCAAACAGTTTAGTGGGAAACTTGTGGGCAGCAGATTTCTTCTTTTTTTGGTTTTGGTGTGAATGATGCACTTCAGGCCTTTAAACGTTCAGAGCCTCTATATAGATTTTATATAAATATCTACAAACAAAAAAGTAGTCCAGTAAAAACATTTAGGTAAAAAAACAGAGGTACACACACACACACACACACTTGCATGCACGCGCATGCACACACACACAAACCCGCACGCATGCACGCGCACACACAACCACACACATGATGCGCGCACGCACGCACACACACACACACACACACACACACACACACACACACACACACACACACACACACACACACACACACACACACACAATAATTAATGCCATGAAGAACACAAACTTGAGAACTCAATAACTTACAAAAACCGTAAAAAGAAGTGAGAATAAAAGAGTTTAGTTTCTCTCTGAGGAGATAGCACCAGCAGAAACACCAACGCTGTCCGCGCCGGTCGTGATGATGATGATGACTAGATAATTATGAGGGCGACGTCGTGTACCAAAGACAGACTGATAGTGTCAGGCCATGTAGGGGTATTTACACGATCTGCTGCTGTCACTCACTCACACGCATACGGACAACTTCATGGCAGTGACATCGTCGCAGCAGTCTTGCAGCACATGTAAAGTGGTCAGAAGTCAACATCTGACACATTCATCCTGCAGCGTTTCATTCCTCACAGCAGAAGTCGTGGTTTTTATTGGGTTTTTTTACTATATGCAGCTGCTAACTGAGTTGTTTTAATTGCATAGCTCTTTGACAAACAGGATCACCAAATACAGTAATTCAGATCGTTGTGTGAAGAGACAATCTGATTCCAGTTCACAGGTAATGGTAAACACAAATATGTGTGTGTGTGTGTGTGTGTGTCGTCTCTGCTGTGATGGTGAATCTGACAGAGGTGGCTGGTGGAGAGGGAGGTTGTTCACTCTGTGACTGTGAGGCTACTGCTCAGCTCCAACTTCCTGCTGACACGGTTCAGGTGGTCCATGGCTCTGTCAAACGCCAGCCGCACAGACTTTCTGATGGAAGAAGCACGAGCCTCCATCATTTTTGCTCGGTCGAACGTCTTGTCCATCCCGAAGGGAGCCATCTTGGATCTAGGAAGCCATTGCCTGCAGAGAGATCATGTAAAGATGAACACAAGTGTCTACTTAAAACAAAACTAAACATTATAGGTTAACAATCCTGTATTTTATCAGTCATGGAAACCAGAAAGAGCTGCTACGGGAGCCTTCCATCAGGAGTTTGGATGTTTGGAACGACAACAGTATGGCAACACTTCTCTAGATGCCAGAAAGTGTCTGGAGGTTATTGTTCGTTATAACGGTGGTGTATTTATGAACATGTGTGTATGCTGTTGGTGCTTTCAGAAGAAAATATCATTTCTATAGCACCTCTCAAGATAAAAATCACGAGGCGCTTCACAAAAACAAAAACAAAAAATGTAAAAACATAAAAAAGCATTTAGAAAATGTTTTAAAATATATTTAAAATGAGCAAAAATAGGCAATTTGGGAATTTAAAAGAAAAAATGTTAAGAAAGAGAGAGAGTGAATAGGAAAGAGGGAAATCAGTGGAATCGGTTTTACTTGGGGGGGGGGAGAATTTTTAGTAAGTAAGTAAGTAAAGTTTATTTATATAGCGCCTTTCACAGATATAAATCACAAAGCGCTGTTTTTTATTTTATTTTTATTTTTTTTTTAGTGAAGAATGACAAAACAAGAGAATTCTAGTAATGTGGAATCTGTCTAAACTTCATCACTTTTTGTGGATTATGTCGATTTGGTGATGGCTTGAAGCCAAAATCTACAATAAAAATAGTAATCTGATTAATTCCGCCACCTTAAAAGTAGTGTAATATCTGCTGATTTTGAATAAGCTAAACATTAGAAGCAGGTTAGTGACGAGATCTCCTAACTGGCAGCAGCAGTGTAGTGGGTTTGGTTGAGTTCCTCACCAGCTGCGTTTGCTGTCGAAGAAGCGGACGAGGAATAGTTTCTCTGCGGACCTGAACTGCATCTGCTCTCCGGCTCTGAGGACGTCCAGCGGTGGTTTGGAAAGCTCCACCTCGCTGTGCCGCAACGCTGTCCTCCGAACTCGAGGCTCCATGATCTGAGGAGCACAACAACAGGAAGGGACGGTGAATGAGACGGGCCTTGAGCAGCGAAGCAGCTGGGTCGTACGCACCAAAAAGCCCCCTTTGGAGAAACACGAGCATGCAAGGCCGAGTCGGACATGAAGCGCTTTGCGCTACTTGACGGGCTACAAACAGGCACTAGATAAACCACCCAGTCCAGGCTATGAGCACAAAGCACAAGCTACAGCATGAAGAATGGCAGAGGGGCAGATGGGAGATGACATACAGATGGGACAGACACTCACTCACCAGGGCAGGGAAGGAGGGATATCCACTACATTTAGCCCAAACTAGTTTATGAGGTTCCAGAACAAATGGAGAAGCAGCGGCGGGCTTCCACACCTCTACAGGAACAACAACAAGCAAGTTATGAAAGATTCACTGAAACAGAGAGCACAGTAGGGCTGGGCAATAAATCCAAAATTTATTGTTATCAACATTTCTGACTCTTATCAAGATCATTTTTCCTGTGTCAATAAATTTGATAATAAAAAAACTATGGTGTGTGTCGGTTGGCAACATTCATGTCCCTTTAAGAAGCTGCAGCACGTTGTGAAAATGTAACTCAAGTAACGCACGTGACAGCTCCATCTAGTGGACAACTTTAGTTTCTACACACACCTGCAATTATCGTCATTTATCGTTATCGAGGTGAAATCCTCAATATATCGTGATATTGATTTTAGGCCACATTGCCCAGCCCTAGAGCACGCACGCACGCACGCACGCACGCACGCACGCACGCACGCACGCACACACACTCACATGCATGTGCACGCACGCACGCACACGCGCGCGCGCGCGCACACACACACACACACAAACCTAAAGGTGCATTTTTGCAGAAATGAAGATGGCACCTTGTGGTAAAATGTGGTTACTGTGACCACTTTAAACAACTCTGGAGCTTTTTGTTGGCCGTACATTTACAATTGTTGGCGCTGCAGCATTAGCCCGCAGGAGACACGGCACCCCCACAAACAGTGGTCACGCCCCTCCTCCTTTTGTTTTGAAAGGAGAAACGCGACAGTCCCCACAGCCATGAAATATGTTTCAGTATAACCTTCCTTCCAGAATGACTGAAACATTACTCTTCTGGGATTTTCTCACTGTACAATTCTCACTATATTCTTACATACTGCACCTTTAATGGTGCTCCATAACAAAGCACCACAGCCCAAGGACCTGCCACTGGTAACCTACTGTATGTTGGCACTGATGATGGTAATAACGCTTGGCTATGGTCAGTCATCGACTCATTTGGGGAACTTTATTAAATACCCAGCTTAGACACTGAGAGCTAAACAGACAAGGAGCTGAATGAGCACCAGTACGCCCAAGACGACAAGAGAACGGTTCACATATCTGATCCTGTAAAAGCAGCAGCTAAGCTTTGTCGGATTAAGGTAGGATATTCATCCTAAAACAGTATTTACAAGTAACAAACATAACACACAGCTGGGTAAGCTTGCTGTTGGCAGCACCCATCGGTGGAAACAAAGACTATTTTCCACCTTGATGCGATAAGCCTGCAAGAGCAGAAAAATCACCAGGCCAGATTTAAACACAGAGATGTCTTTGCTAAAATATTATAACCATAAAACAGAAACATAATATTTCTTGGGTCATTTAAACATGTTCCTTTTAGCAGTGACTGTTTCTTTAGGGCTTTTGATGATTGTTTAGTAAATCAGTGTTTTGTTTACGGCCTGGTTTGTTTATTTAGAATTAGCATCTGGATGAAAACACACTGCTATGTAACCCTCCCACCCACATTATCATTGGATCTGCTACTATGTAGCATGAAATACTATAGCACCTATTTAATCCATTTGCTGACCCCAGTGAGCATGATCCTGCGTTCATATTTAATTTTCAGTTTATTCACACAGATGGAGAAGAGATGGGAAACATCATGACCTCTCTTCTACAACACTTCACTGCGAGTCCACCGCCCGATCCCACAGCCTCAGCCCAGCCGGGTCTGTGTTCATGACCTGAAGCATGACTTGTGTTTATAGGAAACCAGTTCAGAACCAGGTACACTAAGCTGCTTCAGCATTTATAATATATAAAGGAAACTTATTCAGCTGAGGGTGATCACTTATATTCTTCCCCACCAGTGATGGGAATAACGCCGTTTAAAATAACCGCGTTACTAAAAAAAAATTTTTTTGTAACGAGCAAACTAATTAATTACCGTCTTCTTTCATCAAAACGTCGTTTCTGTTACTGATAAGGAAATGCGTGCGTTAAGCAGCGCGGTGTGTTGAAGCTGTCATCAGCTGATCAGGAGCTAAAGAGGCAGATGTTTTCATCCAAGCGCATCACGACCCGTGAAGAACGAGGAATATGTGATGAATAGTCTACGGCTGCAGGTGTGGATCTGCAGCCGTGCCCTTCTTAGCGTGACAGCGGGACATCCCGATGGTCCGCTCACCTTTTCACCGCTCAGACGTCCTGATCTTCTACCTTCCTAGATCATCCAGCTGTAACCTGTTTCTGATCATGTGTTTAGTCCCGCTGTAACACTGATGCATCAGTCTCAGACGTCATGGAGCTCAGGTGTTATTAGAACTACCTGTGTGTGTTCACCACCCAGCTTCAGCTCTTCTGTGGTTGGGTCTGACCCAAGTTAGTAAATGTAAGTCCTCCATCAGGCTTGTGCCTGTTCTGGTGTCATTTTAAAGGATTTTATTTATTTATTTATTTAACCGTTACTAGATTAGCAGCAACAGAAATGCTGCTAAAAACACACAATTATGTGAAGCTGGAATTTTTTTTATTTATTATTCAGGTTTATAAAAAAACATTTAGACATACATTTTATTATGTTCCAGTCATTAGTCATTTATATTTCACTATTGTATTAATTTATAGTAAATTATATTTATAGTTTAATTAACCCATTTTTCTTCCATTCTTTAATGAAAAAAGTAACTGTTATTTTTCTTGGTAATTAGTTGCTTTTATAATCTCGTAACTCTGTAAGTAACTGAGTTACTTTTTTGACAAAGTAATTAGTAACTATAAATAATTACTTTTTTTAAGTAACTTTCCCAACACTGTTCACCACCAAACAGGTTCCAGTGCTAAACCCAAGCTGGCCTAGCACCAGTTAGATCCACTTCTGCTGACTAAGAACCAACAGAAGCTCTCTTGGCTCTCCAACAGTGTTTAGAGACGAATACTCAAACATCAGAACTGAAGAGCTTCTGTGAAATTTCCCCAACATCTTATTATTCAAAACTATCATTTATACCACAATTAAGTTTTGGAAACTACCATGTCCTGTTCAGATTTATACTAGCTCACTGAAAATGATGAGAGCTCACACTCACACACACACGCACGCATGCACGCACACACACACATACACACGCACACACAAATGCACGTACAAGTACACACACAAGCACGCATACGCACGCGTACGCACGCACACGCACACACACTGCAAGAGCTGAATCAGGCAGATTACAGCCACTTGTTGGTTGTACAGTAAGGGGGGAAAGAGATTTGTTGGATTATGCCCGCATTTAGGAAAGTCATGCAAGAGACGTGAGCAGTCTATACGAACAACACAAAATAAACAGCTGACATTTTAATTTTGTCATCTAGCATGAAGAAAAGATGAATCCATCAGGATCTAATCCGTTCAGCATCGACTTTCTCACCTAAGAACAAAACTTGAGGTACTTTGTGCAAAAGTATCTGACTGTACCTGAAACAGAGGATTGTACTGTATTTCTGATCCAATAGGATCAAGTTTATAATAACTATCGGATTTGTGTTGTATGGCCTTCTTTTAAAGGGTTGTTCCGCCTGTAAGGGAAGTTTAGTCTGTGGCCATGTTCCTCAGAGTTAGAGAAGTGGGAAAAAGCATTTTGTTCCCAGCCCAGCCATTCTCCTAATCTGGCAGTATACTGTTAGCTTTAGCTTAGCGTAAATAATGTAAGTGAGTGGTAACAGCTGTGTGAGATGTCATGAAAAACCCTATGATCCTACTTCTTCTTGATGAACTTAATAAATCATATAGACTCTAATTGACAGAAATAACATGAAGGAATTACAGGAGCAGATTTAGACTTGGGACTACTTTAAGCACCGCTGTAAGTCGCTGCTGCAAGGCGCAAAGACATGATGCAGCGGCGCCAAAAGACACCTGCTTCATCTGTCAAGTACTCTGCTATCTAAGCCTAGTTTATGCTGGCCATCTGGCTGGTGGGTCGCTTTGCTCGGCGTTTGGCGGGGGAGCCTGCTCATCAGCACCCCAGCAGAAAGGGTCGAACTCTGAGAACCGGTAATGGTTGTACCTCATGTGCAGCAGTACCGGGACCAGAGTGAATAGGGTAAGTATGGAGAGCAGGAGTGGGTGTCCGGCGTGCATTTTTGTAAGTCTTTGGTTGTATGTGTATGTGTGAGCATGAGGGAGTGTGTGACTGTGTTTCTGTAGGACTGTATATGTCAGGTGGGGCCTTTGACTCCTCACCTCTCCTGGGACTTCTTTTGCTGCTATACATCTTCATCTCCCCTCCTCCTGTCACACCTGGTGTGGAGAGTGGTGCCTTGGTCTGCCTGAGTGTTCATGGCTCCCGGGTCAGGGGGTTTAGGATTTTTAGCGTCTGCCTGATCAATCCCGGTGGCTGCCTGGTGGGATCTGGGTCCCTGGGCTCTGTTGGGTCCCCGGCGGGGCAGGTCGCCCCTGGGTCCCGGATCGGTGGGTTCCGGGCTCGGCCGGCTTGGGGGTGGGAGGCTGCGGGCGGGCCTGTGGGCTTGCCGCCGATATCTCCCGGGACTCTGCCGGCTGCTGGTCATGGCCCCCCGGGCGATCCTCTGCGCCTCTCGAGGGGGGCGGGGGCTTTTCTGGTTACAGTCTCCCTGGAGTCCCTGCGCTCTGGGGCAGCTCCTGGATCTCTGGGACTCTGAGCTCCCTCATCTCCTACACATCTTTAGGGGGCAGATCTGTGGCCCCTCACACTCTCTACTGGACGCTCCTATAGAGAAACCTTACACATACAAGCGCATGTACACACACAGGTGCTCACATGGTGCTCTTGTAAGTATGGACTTGGGCACGTTCAACACATGTCTTAAGGCTGTGGTTGGCACTAAATGCACTGTGAGTTATTATCGTGTGATTGTTCAGTTAAACAATGAAAATTTTATTTTTCCTCATCAGGTTGTCGCAGTGATAGCTTGCTCCTGTTGTATTGTTGTGTCCCATTTCTACAGGTCTAGAAGCAGACTCTTGTTCATCGATTGTTTGTTTTTGTGTGGTTACTCTGGAGCGTAAAAGCCTAAAAGCCACACATTTGTGTTTATGGGTGTAGGCATTTGAGGCCAGTGTCCTTGCAGCTGTGGCTTACATTGTTTGTGCTATGCTAAAGCCAACAGAATACTGCCAGACTAGGAGAATGAGGCTGGGCTGGTTACAAAAGGCCTTTACCCATTTATCTAACTCTGGGAAACGTGGCCACAGACTAAATTTGACTTGGGGGTGAAGCATCCCTTTACTGCTACAACCACTGAAACAAAACAGAAATAACAGCCTCCAACTCTTCCTGCTTGTGTTTGGACATCAATGAGCTTCTTGCAAAAGAACCTTGTTAGCTTCTCTTTCTGCTGGTGTTTCTATCATTTCTGGGCTCCATTGTTTCTTTTTCTCATTTTTATTTTCTAATTTTATTGATTCATTTATTGTTGTGCTTGTGAAACACCTTGTGATTTCTATCTTGAAAGGTTTTGTAAGTAAAAAAAAAAATCCTTTTTATGAATTCAGAACGTTTGTCACCAAGACCGTTTGTTGAAAAGCACCTTCCATCAGAAAGTTCAGGGAGGGGGTGTTAACACAGACGCTAAAGTAAGAAATCACCTGGTATATAGTGTTAGTTTACTACAGGGTTATAATCAGTGATTCTAGCAGATAAAAGGTCACAGATCAAAGCTCGCCATGCTGTTTGGACACACTCAGACGGAGGAAGTGAGGAGCAAGGACACTGCTGTGCTCACCTGAAGAGGTCTTGGTAGCTTTACTGAAATCACCATTTTCACAGCGGGTCAATGTGCTTCTGTCATCCACAGTGCTTCGTCGAGCCACCGCTGGCCGTCCTTTTACAGTTTTAGACACAACGATGGAGCTGAAAAAGACGAGCTTGTTCAGTTGTGATGGAAAGAGAAGTCTTCATGCAGGTTTTTTTTTACACATTTCCTCCAGTTAAATTCAAGACTTTTTAAGACCACTTAAATAAAAATTAATACCCATTTCACAGCCCTACAGGCAAAAAAAACAGAAAGTAAACCCCTGAACATGTGTTAATTTATTTATTTATCTTTCTTCTGTCAAAACACTCGGTGGAGAACATTAGGGCTGGGTACCAGTAGATAATTCTTGATACTACTACTTCAACCTGGTTTTTGATGGCGGTACCGCAACAATACTTTTGTTGAAATCTATATTTTTGAGAAGATAAAATACTTAAAGGTTTTGTTCTTATTGTTTATATCATTTTATTATATTCATTTATATTATACTTTATTTCAATTTTTTTCTAAACAAAAAAGGAGCAAAGCTACAGTGCAAACAGTAAAGGCACAAAATATATGTATAAAAATAGCCTTCGTTAATGCTTAACTTCATGTCAGTAACAGCAGTAATAACAACCTGCTGAACTGCGTTTATAACGCTGCTAAACAGCAGCTAAGTTGGTTTTATGTCCTGTTTCTGCCATCATCAGCCTCCATCCTCAGACTCCTCCAGTGTTTTGGAAGGTGAAGGACTCGGGTTTACTTTGTTGCAGTCAAAGTACATATGTGCTGTCATGTGTCACATACTGCACTAGTTTTAGGACCCAGTCGTCAAAATTCAGGACTTTTGAAGGTATTATTTCCAAATCCCTAAAATCAATGTTTTAAAGACTTTTTAAGACCCTGTTCATAGTAGGAACTTAGACTTTCCAACGTTTTCTAGAACGACTGTTATGAATTAGGTAAATGACGTAAGAAGTGAAGGCAACAGAAATGGATTTTAACGTTGTGCTCTAGTTTCAGATGAGCAACATTAACGCTGAGCTCAGAGTATGCTAAACTGGAACTTGTAATCACCCGGTCCCACAGAGAAGGCTGCCACTGGAGGATATGCTGGACTCTGAGGCACAGCGGCGACGTGGCTCCAGCAAACGTGGCGACGGAGCCACCACCTTCTCCTCCACCACAAAACCATTTGTTATCCCTGAGAGAAGAATAAAAACCACAGGATGTTTTCCATTCTTCGCACCGTGAAGAGAACTTCCTTGGTGTTAGTTTTAATGAGCTGATGGTGGTGCTTTAGTGCATACCTGTGCAGAGACGTTTGATTGGCGTCTCCCCATCCTCCTCACCATCCGTGCTGCTGCTGCGGCGAGTTCTCGTCTTCGGCAGGAGGGTTTCCAGTCGAGGGATCACCACAGACAAAAAGGTTTTGTTGCCCAGGGGTGATGGCGACACAACCAACACCTCTTGACTCGTGGGTGGTTTCTGTGGACTGGCGCTCTTGGACTTGCGGAAAAGGTTGTTGGTCCGTCGGTTGTAGGTTCTGGATGTTTCCGTGTGAATGTCACCGTTGGGAAGTGGGTGGTCTGGAATGTGTCCGTTGGGAATATCTGTGAGCACTGAGGTAGATGTGTTGGTGATGTCATCCAGCTCCATGGGAGTCTGGTCTGAAAAGGGCATGACAGGTTTCAGGGGCGGGGGCTCCGAGGTGCTGGGTGAGGTTTTGGGTTGAGACAATGAGGTCAAAGGCTCTAATGTCGGTGGCGCTAAAGAGTGTGCTGGGGCTTCAGGTGGTGCCGTCTCCTCTGGCAGCGGGGCAATAGGAACTGGAGCCATGGTGGGGGGTGATAGGGGTGGGGGAAGGGACTTCTTTAAGCTCATCTCACTGCGGACCTCCATGATGGCTTTTTTCAGAAGCTTGAGCCTCTTGCTGCGAGATGGGCTGTGTCTCATGGCAGTGCTTAGGTCCAGCTTCTCTAGGAGCTCCTTCAGTTGATCCTCTAGAGGGGTCAGCTGACGGTAGGATGGGGTCAGCAGGCGGTCCACTAACAGAGACAAAACTGTTTTATTATGTGACACTAAGCATTCCTGTTAAAACTAGTCATACAGGCGAGTCGGTCTGTTTAACAAGTTTCCTTCACCTTTGTAACGGAGTTAAATAATGCCGTTATTTTTACGTAACAAAGTAATCGAATGAACTACGTTTCCCATCGTTGCAACGCTGTTACAGTTACTGAGCATTTATAGTGGCGCCTTACTGTGGTTGAATGAAGCAAAGCGGAGCTAGGCTTTCCAACCGCCACACAAGTGATGTGTCGCTCGCAAACAAAACAGCTCTCTAACTACACTCATGAAAAAACTTAATTCACATAAACACGTTATAGATGTGTGGAACGTAACGGCGTTACGGAACATAAGAGTAACGTCACAGGTCAATGCTAAGTAACCAATTACTTTTACGATGTGGTAACTGACTTACTAACTCAATTACTTTTTGGAAAACGTAATCTGTAACTATAACTAATTACTTTTTTACAAATGCCTATTAGCAGCAGAGGCTGCAGCACTGCCGTAACGCAGCACCGCTCACGCAGCCGGTGGGGGTCAGATGATAAAGAGCTTACAGTAGAGGCGTAATTAAGAAGTTCAGATTTTTTCTCCGTCATCCTGGACATGATCATCCTGAGAGTTTTAGCTGAAAACAGCTGGACGTTTCTGGATATGTTGGAGACATTTAGCTTCTCATCCCAGAGGCTTCTTCCACACTTTGGTTGTGGTCAGAAACAAACACACTGGTTGTGCTGCAAGTCTTTCTTTTTTCTCCAAAACATGTTTTTGTCTAAATGAAGGTGATGTTGTTGTTCATAGAATTAAAATTCATGTTGAAGTTAAGATTATTTCATCAAATAGGACCTGTGGTTAGCTGGCTCGTGTAAAACATGTCACGTCTTGAAAGAATCGGAATCGGGAATCGATAGGAACTGGAATCAAAACAAGGAATTGGAATCGTTCAAAATCAAACGATGCCCAACCCTAGTTTTAGGGCTTTTAATTAGCCTAAAAACAGTTTTTGTATCAAAATGTAATGATTTATTCAGTATATCACCTCCGAAACATTCACCCACTCACCGTCCTCCCAGGAGAAGGGGGGTGGTGGCTCCAACTTTGGAGCACCTGACAAGTGCAAGCCGCTGGGGAAGTCAAAGCCAATCCTCTCTGCATCCTTAAAGGCTCTCCGGAGGATGACTCCTCCATGGTCCTGCATCCGCTGAGCAGCCTTGTAGAAGAACGTTTCCTTGGCATTGTACGTCATGCAGTTAGAAATGATGAGGTTAAAGTCTGCTTCAAACTCATCTACACTCCTGTAGCAGTGATCATCAATTCGCTTCCTCATAGTGGAAAAGTCCATGGGGTTCTTGATGTGGTCCAGGTAGTCTGGGACCTACCGGGGACAACAAAATCAAGCTAAAGCCACAGAACATTTGGGAGAAAGGTTGATGGCTTCATTACATACATCATTTTCCTCAATCACAGAAGGAAAGGAATGTATTTGAGCAGAAACTACTGAGTGTGAGTTTATTATCAAACCTTTGAGCGGTGTAAGCAAGAACGAGGTCCGCGTTTAGGCAAAGCATCCCCGCAAAAAACATATTCTCCTCAATCCGATGCAAGACCGAAGTGTTTTCATTTTACAAATGAGAGGAGATTTTAATGTAAAATCGTGTTGGATTAGTTGTGTAATTATTACTCTATATGTCACTGATTAAGTGTAAATGGACATGGAACACTGTAAAAAGTTTTTATTTTTGCCGTTAACATGTTGTTAATAATTCTTGGAGAGAAATAGCTCGCACTGTCGGAAAAGACGAGGACGCTGTTAAAAATGCTGGAATGCCATGTTGTAAACAACAGTAATTTTTACTTCTACTACGGTTTAGTGTTGGATACATGCCGTAGAGCTCCATGCTGCCCCCTACAGTTTGGGAGAATATTGGCTCACCGCAGAGACAAGCCGCATGAACCATAAATAATGCAAGTTGTGAAGTGCGTTCCATCTGCGAGCCGCATCACCAAGCGGAAAGTAAATGCGTCAAGCATAAACCAAGCTGTAGGCTTCCAGGCTTGTGAAAGGCTTTCATTTGGTTTGCAGTGTAATATGAGGAAGGCAGCACACGGTAGCTTCTTGCCGATCGCTTCAGCGCTGGATAAATCCTCCACAGTGTATGAAAAGTGTGACATTTAAAACTATATGGGCCATAACCTAAAATAAGATGCATTTTTTCATGATATTGCGTCTGTGCCAGCTCATTTAAAGCCTTAGTAAAATCGCTTTCATCCATCACTCTGTGTTGCATCTCTGTGTTTTGTTGTGGAGCAAAACACTTCCTGTCCCCCGTTTGAGTTTTGCGAGGCTGCCGACGTCACGTTAGACACGTGAGAGAAACCCAGCAATACTTCACAAAGAAAATTTTAACAGTAAAAAAGTCCTTCCGCAAAACTCACTGCAAGAGTTTAGCATCGACACAATGCTAGCATTTTTGGCTCTATACACCACTACAATGGATATCAAATGAAATGAACAAGATGTGCTTTAACTGCAGATTGTCAGCTTTATTTGAGGGTATTTACATCCAAATCAGGTGAACGGTGTAGGAATTACAACAGTTTGCATTTGTGCCTCCCACTTGTTAAGGGACCAAAAGTAACGGGACAGAATAAGAACCATAAATCAAACTTACACGTTTCAATACTTGGTTGCAAATCCTTTACAGTCAATTACAGCCTGAAGTCTGGAACACGTAGACATCACCAGACGTTGGGTTTCATCCCTGGTGATGCTCTGCCAGGCCTCTATTGCAACAGTCTTCAGTTCCTGCTTGTTCCTGGAGCATTTTCCCTTCAGTTTAGTCTTCAGCAAGTGAAATGCATGCTCAATCAGATTCAGGTCAGGTGATTGACTTGGCCATTGCAAAACAGTCCACTTCTTTCCCTTCAAAAACTCTTTGGTTGCTTTTGCAGTATGCTTTGGGTCATTGTCCATCTGCACTGTGAAGCACCGTCCAGTGAGTTCTGAGGCATTTGGCTGAATATGAGCAGATAATATTGCCCGAAACACTTCAGAATTCATCGTGCTGCTTTTGTCAGCAGTCACATCGTCAATAAATACAAGAGAACCAGTTCCACTGGCAGCCATACATGCCCACACCATGACACTTCCAACACCATGCTTCACTGATGAGGTGGTATGCTTGGGATCATGAGCAGTTCCTTTCCGTCTCCATACTCTTCTCTTCCCATCACTCTGGTACAAGTTGATCTTGGTCTCATCTGTCCATAGGATGTTGTTCCAGAACTGTGAAGGCTTTTTTAGATGTTGTTTGGCAAACTCTAATCTGGCCTTCCTGTTTTTGGGGCTCACCAATGGTTTACATCTTGTGGTGAACCCTCTGGTGGAGTCTTCTCTTGATTGTTGACTTTGACACAGATACACCTACCTCCTGGAGAGTGTTCTTGATCTAGCCAACTGTTGTGAAGGGCGTTTTCTTCACCAGAAAGTAGGGCTACACAATATATTGCAAATATATCATCGCGATATCAGCATGCACAATATGCATATCACAAAGAACAGATAAATATCGCAATGAATGGTTAGCTCAAATGTTTGCTACACATAACACATTCTGTCAATCAAACGGGAACATGATGTTTTTAACAAATCAAATAGAGCTCTTCACCCGTTTGGCCAATCGGGTGGGTTCTCATAGGTTAGATGCCCACCCCTGAGGCAGACGGCACTAAATTTTGATGGCTAGCAAACACCTGAGTTAGCTTTGTTCTGCTCTTTTTGCTGACTCTGCTTTTCCCGGGATCCACTGAATGCCTTTTCTTTTCTTTTTCCCTTTCCTCACATCATTTGCTTTTCTCATTGTTATGATTTTTTTTATTTCCTTGTTTTTGTTCCCGAGTGAAGTTTTTATTTATCGCAAGTAATATCGCCATCGCAATATTCTAATATCGTGCAGCCCTACCAGAAAGGATTCTTCGGTTATCAACCACAGTTGTTTTCCGTGGTCTTCCGGGTCTTTTGGTGATGCTGAGCTCACCGGTGCGTTCCTACTTTTTGAGAATGTTCCAAACTGTTGTTATGGCCACGCCTAAAGTTTTTGCGGTCTCTCTGATGGGTTTCTTTTGTTTTTTCAGCCTAATGATGGCTTGCTTCACTGATAGTGACAGCTCTTTGGATCTCATCTCAACGGTTGACAATAGCAGATACCAAATGCAAATAGCACACTTGAAATGAACTCTGGACCTTTTTCTGCTCATTGTAATTGGGATAATAAGGGAATAACACACACCTGGCCATGGAACAGCTGGGAAGCCAATTGTCCCATTACTTTTGGTCCCTCAACAAGTGGGAGGCACATATGCAAACTGTTGTAATTCCTACACCGTTCACCTGACTTGGATGTAAATACCCTCAAATAAAAGCTGACGGTCTGCAGTTAAAGCACATCTTGTTCGTTTCATTTTATATCCATTGTGGTGGTGTATAGAGCCAATAATGCTAGCATTGTGTCGATGTCTCAATATTTATGGACCTGACTGTATATTGGTTGCACTTGCAAGTATAGCTATTGACGCTAGTGTTTGTTTACACACTCACCGTATTAATAATTTAATAAAATGCCGCATTGTGCTGCTTTTAGATGTATGAAGACATTAAGAAGGTTTTTACACCATTTTAACATAACTGATACAAACTTTTATCTTTTAAGAACAACAAAGTTTTGTAACCTGGGTTCCTTTTAAAAGAGGGAGGGAGCCTCCTGATCTACAAGGGCTAAAAACTGAAGAGCAGGCAAGTTTCTTTTGGACAGGTAAAAACTAAATCATTCATGATATTTTAAAGAACTATAAAAAATAAAAATAATAACATATATTAGTGCAGATAATTGTTGTGTGCTGTGTTAACTGTAGATTAATATGGCACTAGCTGGAATGCTAACTCAACCTGCATTGAGTTATTGTCAGTCTGTAAACTTCAAGCTAACTGTGGAAGAGGAGAAAGGATTTATCTTTTCTGAGTTGGAACATCAAACTATTGTTTTAGTCTGTTGTAGCATTAGCAGGGGCATGCGGTCAATGCGACTGCATGTTTTAGATGTTTCCCTGCTAAACTCATTCACTGCCATTGACAACTAAAGTTGTCATTTTAAATCCAACCGTTCACTGCCAATGACGACTAAAGTCGTCATTTGCATTTTTTTTTTTACTGTGTGGGCGTCGGACGAGCCCCCGCACCGTGAGAACAAACATCTCAGCTCTAAAGCCGATCTTCATCCGGGTATGTCACACGTCATGTGATCAGGAAGCAGAAAATCCATGTGTTAGGAGATCGTTTGGGCCGCTGCTGTAAAAAAAAGTGAGGCGTGAACCAGAAAAGCTTCTGCCGATCACAATTCAACAACAAATTATGAAAGAACAGATAACACTCGAAACGCGTGGATTCTTCCTGATGTAAGAGGTGAGTCTCCTCTTTGTTTTGGAGTCGACATCATCCTAGCGCGCAACGTTCTGTGACTCTTAAAAAAAACAGTAAAAACGGTGAAAAACGCTGACAGCGAAGGGCTTTACCGATCAGGAAACGGCTGGCAGTGAATGAGTTAGACAGCAGATTTGATGAAAACGAGTGTTTAGCAGCTCCTGCAGAACCCAGTGAGGGCTGAGGAGATAATTCAACAGATAGAATGAAGTGTGTCTGAGCAGGAAGATATCAAAAACATCACTTGTCTGTTAGCACTACAAGGCTATTTGCGTGTGCATGTGTGGAGCGAGGTGTAGCTCCATCCAGAAAGGGAAGAGGAATTAAATCTCCGCCTCCTCTCCTTGATGATGTCCTGCTACGGACCCCGTCTTTGATGATCTACATGGTGATTTCTAAAACACATTAATAAGAATGAATGCTCTGTTAAACTGAAACCTTTTTGTAAGTTTGTATAACTGACATTTGCTTTAGAAAGTCCCAGAAAACGAACACACTTTGGACAGCTGTGAGTTTGGTCAAGTAAAAAAAAAGCCAGTGTATTCATCCTGATGTCAAACAGACTTGCTGCTTTCTTAGTGCGCTTTAACGAGACATTTGTAATGAATTGTAGCTATAAAAATAGAGCTATTTACACAGACTACTGAATAACTTTTGGTAACTAGTAAATATGTCTGAAACTTTGCTGGTTTTCAAAAAGAGTCCTTCAAACAAACCTCCTTGATGCTGACAGGCTGAGCAAAGATGTTGTATTGGTCCTTTGCCTGCAGCTGACCAAGCACCGCCCTCAGAAAGATGTTGAAGGGGGTCAGCTGGGCCTCCATCACCGACTGCTGTAGCTTCAACTGAAGGACAAAAGCCAAGTTCACTATAAAGAAACTCCACACATGATAAACAATCACAACCAGGTTCTTGTTCTGCAAGGAAAAGGGGCACGAGGGTTGGTCACCAGACACTCTTCCTCCAGCATCAACTGTTAATTTTGTTACTTTTGTCTTTTATAACTAAAATATAAAGGGAGAGAGAAATGGCACAGAGGCATAAAAGAAATATGACTGATAGCATAGACAGTTACGATTCTAGAACTGTTTATTACAGTGTTAAATGTGGTTAAAAATAAAACATTATTTAGTTAATTAAAAATTATCTGAAATTATAAACTCGGTGTGTATTTATTGACCTTTAAACGCGGTAGTCGAAATGACTGCTCAGAGTTCATTTGAGCTAAAATGGTAAAAATCCACTGATTCTACATTAATAAACAGTGAAGCGTGTTTAATTGCTAATTAATTACAGATCATAAATGCACCATAACATGATATTTTTCATGTTTCTTTCCCTCATATAAGCTATGTGAGGAGACTAATAGACTTCTAAGATGCAAGTGTTTGTTTGTTGTTCCAACAATCCAAAAAGAATGACAAATGTTGTCCAAGAACAGAAAAAATTCCTTCTCTCCCCCGTCACCTTGGTGATTTGGACCAAATAGGCTATGTGTGTTTATTCATTTCATTTTCACGTTGTTCTTTCATCAAGCAGGGTGAAGATGAGAAAAGAAATAAAAACAATATATTTGGTAAGTTTTTGGGTTATCTCTTAGCACATAATAAGGCAACCCGTCAGTGGCTTAGTAAAGGTTAGCAGCTAAAAGAACTAAAACTACTAATGCATAATCATGTCTACTGCGTCAACTCGTCTGCTAATCTCTAAAAATAGGTAAAGAAAGAGAGAGAGTGAATAGGAAAGAGGGAACTCAGTGGATCCTGAGGAAGGTGGAATAGGTGGGGAGAGCAGAATAAAGAGAGAGTGGTGAAGAAGGTCATACAAAAGCCAGCTTGAACAAGTGAGTCTTCAGCTGCTTTTTAAAGGAGACCACTGAGTCCACTGATCTCAGGCTCAGGGGGAGAGAGTTCCAGAGTCTGGGGGCCACAGCAGCAAATGATCTGTCACCTTTGGTCTTTAGCCTGGTGCTGCACAACCAGTAGGCTTTGATCACTGGACCTCAGGAACCTGCTGGGGGTGTAGGGACTAAGAAGATCACCAATGTAAGATGGTGCTTGTCCATGTAAGGCCCTATAGACCAGAACCAGGATCTTGAAATGAACCCTGAAGTTGACTGGCAGCCAGTGAAGCTGGAGGAGAAGCGGGGTGATGTGGGTGTGTTTGGAATGACAACATGAAGGTAATGCATGATTTCTGATGAATGAATGGCTGACTCAGAAAGATTCTACCTCCTCTCTCTTGAGCTTCTCTCGTTTCCTGATGAGCTCCAACAGCAGTCGAGCCCGCTCCAGGTCGTGGCGGAGGCGGTGCCACACTTTCAGTTGCTCCCTCAGTGTTTGGTTGGTCTCCTTCTGCTCCTGTAGGAAACCAACACTTCTAAAAATGAACCGTTTCTCTTACAGATGGAATACTTCAGCGTGTCGTCACAGCACTGACCATATGCTGCTTAGATTTAGAAGGCTGAGGGTTGGCCTGTAGCCGGCGGATCAGGGGCACGTTGTTTCTCGACTGCCTTTTCAGGACCCAGTAGCTCAGAACCTGCTCAACAAACTGACGCTTCCTCTGAACTGCCACCTGATTCAGGATGGTGTCAAAACTGAGCAGCATGGAAAGAAATACAAACAGTTTAAACCACTGCTCATGAAAAACCTGTAAGTTCTGTCTGCAGGTTAAAAGCTTCGTGTTTGCCTTCGAACAAACTAGCTAAAAACTGTTGACAAGACAAAAGGCATCAAAGTTTAAAACACTAAAACAGACAGGACAAGGAACCTGAGTAACTATCTAAATTGTGTCTTTGTTATTTGGCTACCTTGCAGCTGTGATGCTGGGCCCAGAGTTAGCGGGAGTCTCAGGTTCTGGTTCTGGCTCTGGTTCCGTTTTCCTCATCTTTTTCTTCTGCCAGCCTTTGGACCGAGCTTTGCCCCTTTTTTCCACCCGCTTGTGACAGGCTCCGTTCTTCGGATGGGGCTCCTGGTAGATGTTGAGAGGCCGACGGTCACAACCTTCAGGCGTGTGGCTGCAGCAAAAGGCGATCTTCTTTACAGAGAAGGTCAGGCCAGCCTTTGTCAGCTCTCTTACGGGCTCCATCTTCATGTAGAGGCCGGCCTTTTGAGCACAGCTGACATGGAAGGCAGTGTAACAGTTGATCTTGTCGCACTGGATGCAGGCTCCGGCTCCCTTTGCTTTGCACAAGTAGCAGGTGAGTTTCCAGCGGGCAGGTGGAATGTTGCGGACGCCATCTATGGGCTCAATGAAAACAGTGTCGGAGAAACCGACTTCAGGCACCCAGAGAGCACACGCTACGTGGCCCCAGCGCTCATCATCCGTCCTTTTCAGAGCGCCTCCTCGGTTAGGGCAGAAGAGACACTCTGCGGGCCGTGATGGACACTGCAGGCAGTGGCGACACAACCACTGGCCCTCTGGGATGTACGGCACACCGTAGCACTCTTGGTGCACAGCAATGTTACAAGAGTCACAGAAGAGGATGACATTGCTGTCTGCACCGTCCCCATCCATACAGATGCAGCAGACGGCGTCCTCATCCACCAGAGACTGTAGGTCACTCTGACCCTGTGAGGCTAAGAACGACTCTTTTTCAAAACGGTCCATGAGGAACTCAAACAGGTTGTGCGACACCTGGCTGAAACCCTCGGTCTTCCTCCTCTCGTTAGAAAACTCAAGCCAGGCGTAGTCTTCCTCGTCCATGTCATATTCAACCTCCTCATCCAGCTCCTCCTCAGTCTTCTCTATGTATTTGTAATACACCGCAGGCCTTTTTGGTACCACTGGCAGATTGTATTCAACCGTTCTAACCTTTGGCTCCAAAAGGTCACTAGTGCCTCCATCATGTGCAGTGGTGAGGGTAGCATTCTTCTTCTGCTGGTTGTTTTTGAGTCGTACGGAGCGAACCAGAACCTGCTGGGGCTTCTCGCTGTTTTCCTTGTTGCTATTGCACTCCATGATCTCCTGAGCTGTGGGGTCGTCGTCGGTGATCACGTCCAGCTTGTCATAGATGCTGAGACGGTGCACACGGCCATCCACCTCCAGCTCAACGATCCGCTGGGCTTGAGCATATGTGAGCGTCTCCCTGTTGGGAGAGGGCTTGATGGGAGAAGACTCCCTCTTTAACACTGCGAGGTGGCGGTTTTTGCATTTTTTCTTCATGACGAAGCTGCAACAAACCTGGAAATTTCACAAAATAGAAACTCGTATCAACGATTCATAAAAATAATGGTGAGGCAGAAGATGCTGAACAGCAAGTAGGTTTCTGAGGGTGTGTGTCCTTAACCTGAGCTGTGAGGCAACACTAAAGACAAACATGGATGAGTGTCTGGGAAAAGAAAGCAGGAAGAAAATTGTGGACGACTGCACAAGGAAGCTTCCAAAACATTTGGGGAGGTTTTCAATTTTCTCATCAGTTGCAGGAGCCTTGCTACTATGTTTCTGGGATTTGTTCAGAAATATTTTTAAAACTTTCTATCACAAAAAAAACAACAACAACAACAACAACAACCTGAGCTGCTTAAGGGTGCCTGGAACCCTTCTGAATGTAGTTTCCATGGATCAGAAGATGTAAGACAACTTTGGGAGGAGTTTGACTAATTTTCCAAATACAATTAAGCCAGATTGTAAACAAATTAAATCCCCTTTTAGAAAACTCACCACGTTGGTAAATCTGCATGATACTGCCGCAGCGGTGCGTCTTATGGATGGGCCGTGGCAGCATGGCATTGTGGGAATTTTGCAGCATTTGTGCTGTGTATTACCACAACGCCAGACTGTGAATGCATATTACGCCTTGGCGCAACAGAGGGAGGTGTCATGATCACGTGGGGAGTTACTGCCAAGCTCCGGCAGGAAACTATATGGAAAATGAAAGTAAACACGAGCAGTAAGCTTTGCTTTTGTAAACAGAACCAGCTGAGAAGTTCAACTGGAGCAATACAGAGCTCCTGGAGCTTCTCTCGTTAGAGCTGAAGCTCAGATCACCAGAGACTGCACAGGGACTGTGGAGGACAGACACCTTTAGGAACGTTACCAAAATTGATGACTCTAACCAATGTCATTTTACCAGTCAGTCAGTTTGGTTTAAACAGGAAATGGGGGATGATTCAAATATGTAAGGATGGGGCTGCTTGTAGATCGTCGCTCCGAGTAACTCGTTACTCACTGCTTGCGGTAGCTCTCTGCTCGGTGTTGCTCGCTGTCCAGGCCAGTTATTGGCGAGCAGCCGTGAGCGGTGATTAGAGTGATACAAGCGGGAGTGGTGACAGCAATAAATTTGGTTGAGCAAAAACATGCTTCATCAATCATTTGGTAACATTATGGATTCAGCAAGGACAATATGATGAAAACAAATGACAAAAGTCAAACTGTGCAGAATGACTGTAGCAGCAAGTCAAGGTCCTTCACCTTCAGTTTAACCAGACTATAGAGAATCTGACTACCTGACAACTCAAATGTGACAATATTCACATGAAGCAGCTCTTTGTAATATCCAGATTTAGAATATGAGACACTGTACCTTAAAACTTCTGTTTGCAGGAAATGTTTGTTATTTAACTTGTTCAGTTGTGCTTGGTTTTTCAATCAAGTTATTAGTTTGAAAATTTTACAGTAGAAATTAAAAATAATCGCAATGATCTAGGGGGATAATACTATCAATAAAAGAGGCTGTGGAACAACTATGCTGCCACAACCCCATCTACTGGACAACCTTAGTTTTTGGCCATCCACATAGTCGTCATCCATTTACCGTTATTGAAGTGAATTCCTCTATCTACCATCCATGACAATGGTTTTAGGCCATATTACCCAGCCCTACACATTTCTAATTAAATTCGAAACATTTTTTCAATAGTAATATGACAGTTTGTTTGCATTTTCATCACACGTTGACCTAACTGCAAAGATTTCTCATCTCCAACTAACTGCCAACAGTTATTAAACAGAATATGAAACTAATCTGAGGAGGACAAATGTGTGGAAGCAAACATGTTTGCAAGAGAAAAGTAAGATTATATTAGTCGCCATATACAAAGAGGTGGAATGATATCCCAAAACAAACGTTTCTGCAGCCGGCAGCCACGAGCCGCAGACGGCAGAACTTCTCTTGTACAATTTTGCATCAACACAGTGTTGAGGATGTTAAGGAGTTAGGAGACATTTTCACCTTTTGCATAGAAATCTACTGGGATATTCTGCATAAATTAGGACAGTGAGTCCCAAACCACAAGGAGAGGAAACCAAGTTTTTCTAACACAAATTTGAAAATTAATAACAATATATTCAACTAATTCATGTTGATTTTGTGTGAAAATAAATATTTCATGACATCTGTCAAAAGAATCCACACAGTTTCAAATGACCTGTCAGGAAGTTCTTAGCACCTTGAAACAATCAAGCATCAGAATCCGAAGCAGAAGGGTTTCATTGCCATATGTGCGAGAAATCACAACATTAGAAAATAGCAAAAAGCATGCAACAGGGCAGACCTGATGTCTCATATGTGGCTTGATTTACAATGTGTTTTAGTTGGTTTTGGTTTTATTAAATTGCCCGATATATATCATGTTAAAGCTGTAAGAAAGAGAAAATGTTCTCTTGCAGCAAAGCAGTCAAATAACAAACAAACACAAAATGTGAACACATAGTTTTGTTCATATTTTAGCACAGGGGCCACATTGAGGGAAATCTAGTCCCAAGTGGGCCGGACCGGTAAATTAAAAACAACTTCAGATTGTTTTCTTTGTTTTAATACAATCCATATAAAACAAGCCTGGAGCCTGAGAACAGTGAAGTACAAGTACAACACCTGAAGTGTACTTGAAAATTTGAAAAAAAAAATTAACAAATAAAAAAAAACATTCCTTAGTGATTCAAAGAGCTTACAGATCACATGGCAAGATCAGTTTCATGCAGCACTTAAAGTATATTTGACTCATTTTACTTTACACCTTTTAGCTTTCACCAGCACATCAATATCAGAAGTCACAACAACCACTGTCTCTACCCACGTTTTCTAAAGGTCAATGTTTAAAAAAAGAGACACGCAAAAAACATCTTACAGAGGAAAATCCAACTAAGTTTTTAATTCAGTAGTCCAATACTTGAATTATTTAAAATACTGCAGCGCTCCAGTGAACGACCAGCTGTCTGTTCCTTTAATTTGGGAGCTCAACAAGCTTAGTAAACAGTACGGGGGGCGGAAACGTAACACTGAGTGGATGAATGAAAGACCTGGACGGCGAGCTGCACATCTCCACACTGCCAGCGCCTACCCGCTGGACTGGCTGCCTGTAGCTTGACCTAG